TCTCTGCGGCTCCATAATCATCTTGATCAGAAAATTTGGAGCACAACTGAGTTACATGTTGCTACAGTACAGGTTCTCCTATGTCCCAGAGAATGTGAAACTTTAAAAGTTTCCTTGTCAATAATTCAATTCTGCTTGGATGTGAGATTAGGAATACATTAGGTATTCCTAAAATAAGTAAATGTTCTACTTTAATAAAACCAGGTTCAATTATAATTAGTTTCCTTTAAAATGTCTCAATAATGTTAAGGAAAACAATTGTTTCCTTATTGTGACAATTAATCCTGACTGTCAACTTAACTGGTTGGAGAGACAACCAGGAGATTAGCAAGAGACACTTCTGGGTGTGTCCAGGTAGGCCACAAGGGTGTGACCTCCGGCACTGTATCTGACCCCTGGCCCTTTTCCCTCTAGCTCCTGAGTGCAATGGAGTTAGCAGCTGTCCTTCACCGCGCTGGTGCTTCTGCTGTGGATTAACTGGGAAGCCATGAGCCAAATGAGCCATAAGCTACCTACTACCTAGCTGTGAACTAACTGGGAAGCCATGAGCCAAATTAAATGTTCCTTTAACCAGTGGGTACAGGTGTTTTGTTCTAGCAAAAGAAAGGTGACTAATGCAAGTATCAAAAAAAAAAAAACAACAACAACAACAAAACCCACAAAAAACCCAACTACAACGAAATAAAGTATCTCAAATCAGTGTGAAGACAGCAGAATTCTAAATAAGTGATTTAATGAGAATAACTGTATCACCACCCAGAAGCAGATAAACAACAGATCTGTCCTCCATTTCACATACCAGAACAAATTCTAAATGGGCCACAGATTTAAATGCAAAGCAATGATGTGTATATGTGATGGGGGAAAAGATGAGGTGAAATCTTCTATAATCTGGTATAATCTAAGAATGAAGAAAGCTTGCTAACTACAATCAAAATTCAGAAGTAGCTGAAATAATCTATAAAAGGTTAACTTTTAGACAAAACAAAAATCCTTTAAAGTGTAAGGCCAAATGAAGGGAAAAAAATTCAACTTACTTCACAAAGGTTAATAAAGCTTCTAATAACAAAGAAAACACATTCACTAAAAAACACTATTTAATGCCAATAGAAAAATGGTCAACAGGTGGACATGGTGGCACCCAACTTTAATCCTCGCCCTTGGGAGGCTGAGGGAGGAGGATCACTATGAGCTCAAATCCAGCCTGGACTAAATAGTACCTTAAGGTCAGCCTAAACTAAACAGTGAGTCCCCGTCTCAAAAAAAGAAAAAGAAAAATACTCAAAAGATACAAATAAACCCAATACAAACAAAAGAAATGCAAAGAGCCCTGATATGTATGAAAACATGTGCCGTGTGGAAATTCCTATCAAGCGAGAATAAAGAAAGGAGAGGTCCCTGGCTGTACCAACTGAAGAACATAAACTCTGATCCTGTGACCTAGCAATTCTACTCCTAGGAATGTAGCCTTAAAACACTCTAAAACGCATTAGCAAAGAGATACATAAAACCCCTATATAAAACCCCTATATACTGAGCTCTTGACTGCAGTACTATTTGTAGTAGCCAACGATTATAAATAATGCAGATAACACAAAAACAGACTGTTGATTCAACTGAAGTGTATCAACAGAGCCTTATTGGCTACAGTAAGGACAAAGAGTTCCGTAACTGCTATGAAATAATGCTCAAAAAATTGAGATTAACTAGTTACTGAATTGGTGGACTGATTATAATGAGAAATTGTTTTGAGTGATTCAAACAGGCTATTCTGTTTTAGCAGGACATAGCTTATAGCCAAAGAACGGTAAAGAAATCTTAAAACTATTTACAGTAATCATACTGCTAGTAATACTGTTGTTTTTCTAAACCTTGTATATTTAAAGCAAATACATATTTATGTTAATGTTAGAAACCACCAAAATTCATAGCAAAAAATAAGGCAATTGTTTCTTTTTTTGCAGTGCTGTAGGCAAGTGCTCTACCACTGAGCTATATCCCCAGCTTGTTTTTTTCCCAAATGTAATCATAAATTTGAATGAGACTATTAATAAGGTTTCATGTGCTTTCTTTTAAAAAGAATAAAACAGGTGTACCTAAAAAATGTTGTGTCAAATGCACACTAAAAATTACAGTTTGTAGGAAAAAAAGAGCATTAGGAACTAACGACCCAAAAGCTATGTGATTTGTATATAGAGATAGTCCTGAAAACAGCAATTCCTAACTAAAGAAAACCTATAGGTCTAGGTGGCTTGGTGTGGCTGCTTCCTTGGACATTGAAAATGCATTTTTTGTTTTTTTCTGATGTTTACAACATTTTATTACAGTATAAAATTTCTGGAGATGAGCTAAGACACAGTAAATATTTACAGAAACATTGAGAACATGACTCAAGGAACACATAACGTGCAGAAAGGTCTTGAAAGGGCCCACAGGTGCAATTCAGTAAGTAACACCGTGGGAATGCCAGCCTGCTAAGTGTGAAAACAACGCAGAGCAGAGTGCAGCGCTAGTTCAAAGGGTTCCTGTCAGGGTAAGCACGAATAAGTTCAGCATACACAAAACCAGAAGTAGGCAGGAGAGAACGTATTTCACACATTAGGATTCAGTTACGATTCTGTTTGAAAAAGATGACCAGAACTTAGATGTCTTCTTAAATTCACCAGTAGAGAGCCCTGCATTGTAAGGCACAGCATGTGAGTTTCAACTTCTGCTATAGCTTGAATGTTAAATGCCCCCACCCAGGAGTTTATAATCCTAGCACTCAGGAGGCTGAGGCAGGAGCATCGCTGCAAATTCAAAGCCAGCCTGCAATACACAGAGTCCAAGACCAGCCTGAATTAACTACACAGCAAGATCCTGTCAAATCCCCGCCCTCCCTTAGGCCCATGTTAAGGCAGGGTACTACTGTGAGACAGTGGAAACTTTTAAGAGGTAGGTCCTAGTAGTTTCACAGTTCTCTAATGAACACTACTCTTTCTCTGCTCCCTTTCCAGTTAGAGATGAGAGCTTCCTGTCACGTTCCTACCATAACGGGCTGCTTCACCATAGGCCTAAAGCTAAGGCAAAAACCAAGCAGACTGAAGCCTCTGCAAGCATCAGCCAAAATAAATCTTTCCTTTTTACAAAGTGAATGAAGACATATTTTGTTATAGTAATGGAACGCTAACAACTTCTGTAAGTTTTTAACTGATTATAGGTGACATATCATTTTGAAAACAGAAAAGTTTATTGAAGAAGATAACTCGAATGTATTTTCAGGATTCCATCTAAGAATCTCCTGGGCTCTAACAACAAAAACCACAAAGATCACCTAAAGGTCCCAGATTAAAAGCTCCTGTCATAAAAAGTTAGAGAGGAGCTGGGGAGATGGAGTTTTGGGCTGGGGAGATGGCTCAGTGGAATAAGTGCTTCCATGGCAAGCCCAAGGGCCTGAGTTCAAACCCTGGTTCTGCCAAAAATAAAAAATAAAAAAGAGAGAAAAATCTATAGCTTCGATAATTTCCTTTCTGGCTCTCTCCTTAAAGTAAGCCACATTTTCAGCTTCCTCAAACCTACATGAAAATTCTTTTGCCTCAAGCACCACTACTAGCTCCACGTGACCTGCCCCAAGGACCAGGGCCCCTTCTCAGAGATCTGCTAATGTTTTTTCCCCTTCCCTTTTGAATTTGTTTAATAATCATAGGTTTAGAACCTTGATTTGTCCAAATACTGAGTGAATTTTTTTAGCAATAGATTCCCAGCATGTGGGATTTAAAACTGGAATGCTAATTTAGTAATTTAAAAAGAGAAATAAAACTGCTGAAACAATCAGTTTCTCATATTTTTTAGTTAGAATTTCTTTCCTTATTGGGAAGCTATTTGGCAAGCCAAACAATAATCAAGATATTTTCAAGTGTAGAATCAGATCTCATTACTATCTGAGACAGGAAGTTAAGCATATTTGATTCATTTACTCTTAGAGATAAAGCTGTCATCAGAATTCTCTCCCCCTCATGCTTCTCAAATAGGTACTGTCAACATTTGTGCCTACACGTTATGTTTTCTGTTTCTAGATTTAATTAACCTCCTTTTGTCTCTTTTTAGTTACCTTTACGGCTAAATCCTTAACTCTGGATCCTAGTTCAGAAGATCTGCAAATTCTAAAAAGTTTATATCAACATCAGAATTCCTCTTCAGATTCTCAAAGGGACCAGTGACCAAAAAAATTTCTATAGGTTTATTATCTATAGTACAACAACCCAAAATGCTCTAAATTCTCCAAATTTTTAAGCATGAATATGTCAAAAGTAGTAAATTCTGAGCCTGGTATAATGGTACAGGCCTGGGATCCAGCACTCTGGGAGGCTGAGACAAGAGCACCTCAGTTTGAGTCTGGTCTGGGCAACTTCTTGAGACCCTGTTTCAAAATCAGATAAGAATTTACAGTCTTGCTTTATCTTGGTCTTAACCATCCAGCAGAAAAGTATAATAATGAGATATGAAAAATAAAGCCATATTAATATGCTGAGCTGTAAAGGGCTCAAGTCAACAACTTCTGACATGGCCAGTCCTACAGATAGCCCACTACTATTAGACTACTGGAGTATATTGGATTATTTTGCGGAATTCACACACCTACAATATTCAAATGGCAATGGAATACCCATCTCTGACAAAACTAAGCAAAATCAGGGGATACAAATGAAGGACCAGGGGCCGGGGAGATGGCTCAGTGGAATAAGCGCTTCCCTGGCAA